ACCCGTTAGGTTTTCCGCGACTTGTGTAAGGAGTAAAGACATTGAATTATCTATTTAACCTGTGTCTAAAGAAGTTAAGGTTATCATTTTTTATTCTTATAAGTCAAGTCAAAAGTCTACAAATCTTGTCTAAATAAAAACATTAAATATCCCTTTGCCTGTTGACCCCGATCCAGGAGCGCGACGTTAATATGAGAGAACAATGTCAAACAAACAGATTCATGTAAAACGAATTAAATAAAAGGCAAGTTATTATAACATTTGTATTATAACTTTCGTGAGACATACAAAATAAATTATTATGTTTTCGGCTTACTCACGTAATTATTTGACGAGGAACTCGACTAGTTTCAAGCCTTGCTAGAGGCTCATATTCAGAGAGTATCAGAGAGTAGCAGCGCGACAGTCGCAGGTCGCGAAAGGCAGAGGTGCACGTTACGGCACTTAATGCCGCTATACAATGTAACACCCACTTTTCTCTATTTATATTATGAGTCCCATGTAATATGGGGTGAGACTATTGGCATACCGAGCACAATTCCAGACTCCGTGCTACTACTGAGATTGTTTTTAAAACCCAGTGGTACTTTGCCCGACCCCGGAATCGGGCCCGAAACCCCTTGCCCAGTCACTCTTGCGACCACCCGGCCAATGAGGCAGTCAGTTAGCAGTCTTAGTTTTATTATAACATTACCAAGCATGTTATGTACAATTGTGTATACATTACACTCACTCCATTATACATAGACATTATTTCTGATATTTAGAGCAGACTACTTACTACTTTAGTATGAACAAATTTTGAGGATATTTCGTATGATATATCAAGTGTATAAAAGAGGTTTAAAAGATGCCATCTTATGTTATTGCCGTGGTGGTCCGGAGATTTAAGGCGCTCGCTTCTCCTGCCTGAGCATGCGGGTTTGAAACCTACCAACGGCAAGTACCAATGTAACTTTTTCCGAGTTATATGTACTTTAGACACCACTGACAAACGGTGAAGGAAAACATCGTGCGGAAACTTTGGACTTATAATTTCTAATTATAAGTTTGAAATCGCCAACCCGCATTGAGCAAGCATGGTGATAAATGCTCAAACGTTCTTCTGGTGAGAAGAGGCTTTGCTCAGCAGTGGGCATTTATAGGCTGTTGATGATGATGATGATGTTATGTTATAGTTAAAAAACACAGATTAATAACAAGTACCTGGTATTGTTAATATTTAAATAATACTTATGTATGCATACTACTACAATACACAATTTGTTTGTAAGTATATTATCTATGGTTGAAGGTGTATTGTCATTATCTATGGTTGAAGGTGTATTGTCGGCCTTAATACACATTAAACATGTGTAAATATATTAAAATTCTGTATTAAAAACACCTTGAAAACTGATAACACACAATATACACCTACTTACTTAAACAAATATGTAATCAGGTTTTTTAACTTATCTACACAAATAGGGAAAGTTTAAAATCAGTTGCAATCTCCCATAGTGCACAGGTTGATTTTTGAATGAAATAAATAATTGCAAATCCATACTTTCTTTTTTAACTTGATTGGCCTAAATAAACTGATCTCAATATATAATCTTTGGTGTAGCGGTTCGTAGAATGCTACTCATGAATATGAGCCTCTAGCATGGCTTGAAACTAATCGAGTTCCCCATAAACAATTACGTGAGGAAGCTGAAAACATAATAAATAACATATACTTTGGATTGGAATTGATTTGATAGCTCTATATGAAGTTTGAGTCAAAAATATCCCAAATATTTTGGATTTCGACTATTTAACTCGTCGAGTACCGGTTTTGTAGACACAATTATAGAACAATAGGTTGCGGTCACCGGTGACCGCTTGGTGTTTGACAGTTTAACTCGTTGAGTACCATCATTATAGACACAATTATAGAACAATAGGTTGCGGTCACCGGTGACCGCTTGGTGTTTGACAGTTTAACTTGTTCAAGCTTTAATGGATTTACTAAATGGTACATTCCAATTAGTCAAATACATTCACACATACATACATAACCTCACGCCTGTCTTCCATGTGGGGTAGGCAGAGAATATGGTATGCCAATGGCTATGATTCTTAAATTCCTCTTTCACTTCCTCAACAGTCATCAGTCTTTTACTGCATGCTTGTCAAATACAATTCTTTTCAGAAATGTAACAAGGTAATATATTTCTCTATTCAATTTATTTATTTATTATTATGAGTTCACTTACCTGTTATTGATTAGAGAGAAAAATATTAAGAATATACTTAAAATTAAATGACAATATAATTCTTTTTATGTTAGTATGTGAATTTGTTTCTCACTGAGGAAATAACCTTTTTATGTATACATTAACTGCAGAGTCCATAAGTGGTCACCGGTACGCTCTCCAGTTTCTCCATTATTGACATTATTTCTGATGCTTAGAGACTACTTTTGTATTAACAAATGTTATGGATCTTTCATAATCGTGGAGAAGTTAATGTAATAAGGAAACTAGAGAAAAAAGGAACATAAAGTACATGTTTTACCTATTCTTACAGTTTACTTCAAATATGTAATTAAGTATTCAGTTTCATACATTAATATGTAAAACTTGCATGACTGAACAGTTTAATCAATAATAGTGTAGATAAAGTGATAATAATCTATATGATTACAGTATGTGCAATCATGCACAACATATTGCACTTAATATTGACTCAGATATTGCAAAAATATTTGCAAAATGTATTTAATACCATAATAAAACAGTATTGCAAAAATCATGACTGTAAATTCAATACCTACCTAGCAAGTATGAAATATATGGAAACTGTTTTAACTATTGGTGAAATACCAAAAAAATATTGTTTTTTTTTTCTTACAAGCCACAGATACATTATTATCTGTGGCTTTTGTTTTTTTTTTATTATTGTAAAGGTAATGAATGAAAGTCTTACATGGGCATTGATAATTCTAATACAGGCAAATATGTGTACTGATTGATAACAGTGAAATGATCATGTAGGTCACTATAATGCAATTATAAGTTTCATGGTTTCGCAATCATAACACGATCGTAAGGTAGAAGATAACGAATAATGATACAAGCCGTCTTATAGTTTGGCGCACAAACATGATCCACCAATAAGGAGCAGCCGTTCATTCACGCCCTCGCAATTAAATTGACAGCAGATAAACCTTGAAAACACTACAAAACCGCGCTCCAATCTACCCATTTCACACATTCGCAAACCATAATATTATTAATTTCACCGACCTTCAGCGCTCTGGTTCAGCGACAATGGTGCTCCAGTGGATGACAAATCCTTCTTCTGTCCGAGTTTAGGCGGATCAGAGTCTGAATCGTCGAACACAAGTGTCCGGACAGACTGGGAACATCGGCGATCCATCGTAACTATCACAGCACAACACACAAATGCACTAAAATTTCCCCCATCTATCACCCCCTAAACAATTCAACGAATTCACGGTCTATTTACATGACACAGTTAAGATAAAATGTGCGTATCCATCGACGTAAGATCAAGGTATTCATAAACGATTGTGAATGCAAATATTTTCTATGTCATGATAAATAACGCGATACACGACTTCGCACAAATCGAAAAATGACACTTTTGAAGGGCTTACCGCGTATTGCCATAAACCGAGAGATAGTCCCCGATATTGCCAGTAGTTAAATAAAAATGCCAAATTCTCGGAAAGACCACATAGTTATAACTCACAGGTTCTTTTTAATAATATTATTTTTACTGAAAATAGTTAAATAGTAAAATGAAACAAAATCCATTAAGTAGTATAACTTTAATTTTATATTATGTCATGTACAAATGACACTTTTGTAAATTATAATATCTTTTGATAGATCGACGAAACTAGTAAATATTTAAAACGAATTAGCAATTTCATTGGGTGGTTTGAAAAAATACTTCAAACACATTCGAACTTTATTTTGGAACCTAGAAACTTTATAAATTTATAAAATGGCAACACTGCCCACGTTCCAGTTAAACTGTAGTTCTACATTATTTTTTTTGGCATAAAGTCTAAGCTAATATAATTCATAATATCATTAAAACTTGGTAGAGAAAAAACCAAATAAAAACCTGATAAGAGGATAGTAAATGTATATATTTTTTATACGGGGAGGAAAATTGTTTTTCATGAATTATTGTCATTTCACGATGTGGTCAACTATTGCTTAATCACAACAAAAGTATTGAAAATTGTTTTCGAAAGCAATTCTTTCATAATAAAGTAAAAAATATATGCTAATTGCTATTTAACTCTGAAGCCGTACAGATGCTAGTTAACGTAAGTATTTCGGTATACATTTTAGTTTATCAGTTTCATTCTCACAGTTACTACAATAAAAATAGTACGTATTTATGTAATACTATTAAAATATATAATTAATATTATGTATGTACATTGTGCAATAAATAAATAATAACTTTGATGTCAATATTTTCCTGAAAATATCGAGAAATGGAAAAAGTTGCTTCAGAGTTCTGAAGGAATTCAGTTTTACAGAAATAATGCTCAAAAACATGAAAACGTAACATGTGATTCTATAGTGGTATAAAATGTTTTTTGTTTCTGGCATTACTGCTAATAACAGGTGTAAAATCCTGTATCCTTTTTTTTGGTTTTTCATTTCTGCGGCATCTAGTAGAAATACTGAAAACTACAGTAATATTTTTGTACCAGACTAAAAAAAACTTTGACTACTGAAAAAATGTTGCCAAGTTATTGCCTACTCACATGAGTATAATTAAATATTTACTCAATATTTTGAATTAAAAATATATAGATATGTAAATTATAAAAATAATCTTTCTAAATAAAAGCGAATATTACTACAAAATTGAGAAATAACAGAGAAAAATATTAACTTGGTGCGCCATCTAGTGTAACATTGTGCCAAAATAAACTTGTTCCGTCAAAAGAAACGGAAAAACACGAGTGTGCGTCGCCTCGGTAGATATCAGTTGAATTATTCGGCTAAAATGCCCTGGCACGGGCATACGTAGTCGTCGGTCCGCCATTACGACGCAGCCGAAGACACGTTCGTCGTATTTAGTTAAATATTTTCGTTTATAAATGAGTAATAACGCTCATGAACTAAGTAATCGACTACTGAATGCGTTGGATAACAATTACAATGTAAGTTTCAGAGTTTTGACGATCGTAAGTCTGATAAAACGAGTTGAGATACGAAACGGTCCACGAGCCCATGACACCCGATTCGATGTTGCGATTCGGACACTCGCGAGGTTGTCTCGGGAGTGCCTTGTGCTGTGCTATAATCACGAGATGTGTTGATAACCGTCCAAATAATAAATTGGAATATAGTGCGGATCGCGGAGCGGAAACGGACCGTGTGGATACGTGAGCGTGCGAGTTAGAGGGGCCACTGACGTCGCCAGCCCGCCGCCCCGTCCCTCCGTCCCTAGTGCCAAAAATTTTGCAATGTGAAAGTATGAAGAATTGTGCCACGCGCGACCTTTCCCGTTTATCTTCTTTGCTGGTGTGACTAAGCGAGTGGCTGCTGCAAATATGTATTATTTTGTACTGATTGACCTTACGTGAGTACGAACCTAGCTATAGATGGTGTGACGGCACCTGGCGCCCCGCGTGCCGTATGCTGCTCCTCATCACGCGCTTACCTTCTCTGTAGCCTATATTTGTTGTCCTGTTCATGTTTGCTGGTGTGCAATAAGCAGTTGGTCGTTATTTTAGTGATAATTTAGCACACTCGTGGTATATTTCTTGCCTCGGTCTGTTGCTAAGGCCTGCCTGGCTGCAGGTGTATTGGCTAATTCGAATAGCCAGTGTTGTTGTCGATTGTTTAAAACTTTATTTTTATCTTGTTTATCAGTGTGCTATGATTATTTTAATGTTGATTACTCATTATTTACAAGTACTGTTTCTTTCCTTGTTTGTTCTTGGTTAGGGTTGGCAGGTGGTATGTTACTGTGTCATTCCTGGATTGTGATATTTTTAGGTTATATTTGACAGATCATTCTTCGATCAAGTTGTTTAAACCTAATCAGTTGTACTGTGGGTTGGAACTATTTCAAGTTTATGCAATGTGTTGCAACAATAATTTACTCTAACCTAGTAAGGTTCTGTACAGGAATATACATGTCTCCTAACTCTTTTTGTATCCAATATTCAGACGTCAAGCCTGAAACCAACTATTTCAGTCTAAAACAGCTGACTATGTAGCAAGTACTTAAACTTGCAATAAACAACTTGAAACTATAAATAACTATGCATTTTAGTAAACAGTTTTACATCTACATGAATATGACCACTTATCCTGTTGCCTTCAATTCAATTTATTTATATCTTCCTCTATATTTTGAATTTACAATGAATTCTAAAGACACAATATAGTTGTCACTTGAAGTTGAAAAGTATTTTAACATCAGTAACTATACTTTACGGCTTAAATTAGAATTTTTATACCCGAATAGAAAGGCAGAGTTGCACATTGCACATATTAAATGGACAAACATAATATGTGCACATAGCAACTTAATCTCACAGCTTTCAATATCTAGACTAGAACATCTGTAGACAGTTTTGTCTGCACTGAGCTACATCTTCAATTTCATATTTATTAAATACCAGTCTCTATTAGTCGATATATTGTGCAGTTCCCTCATATTAAGGATGTTTCTGCCAGTGAGTTAACCCGTGTTACAAAAATCTATCTATGTGACAAATTTCGTCCAAATCCGTCCAGTACTTTTTCATGAAAGAGTAATAAACATACATCCCTCCATATATTTAGCATTTATAATACACAGTGTATTTAAAATACTCATGAAACCGATAATCTAATAATATATTACTTAACCAAAAGTAAATACCAAAAACCAAATTTCATAATATGTACAGTAGGACTATTTTATTAAGGGGGGAAAATCATCGAATGACTGCTCCCACCTGGGTGAGGCGGGAGGGAGTGTCAGACTCTTAGACTAAAAACCACCCCGTTCCTTCTCCTGCATGTCGAGCCGGAGCCCCGGTTACCCGTTAGGTTCTCCGCGACTCCGAATGTACAGTAGGACTAGTAGCCAATATAACTGGCATAAAGCTAGTTAGCCATTCATTGATGAAGTTATCGGAACTATAAATAAAAACTTCTATGGTATTATTTATATATTCCCACAGAACATTTCATCAAAGTCATCAAAACACAATTTGCTGGGACTTGCATATATACTGATGTATGTATCAAGTTTCTGAGAAATATGATCCATACAAAGTTAGCAAATCAGAGGCCATACTTATAACTAAGTTTTAAATGAAACAAGTACATTTTGAGCTAAATAAATGAAGTTGTTGTTCTTACAAAGTAAGTTAGTAATGTTATTTCAAGTTATTTGTTTAGTTACATTTGATGTTTTCAATGACTTGATTCTTTCAGCTTAATTCATATGCATAACAATTTTTCAAATCATGCTATAAGTTAGTTCTACAAGTTAGTATGTATATGCAAACAAATATTTCATCTTTTTTACCATGTATTTATTATACTAGAGTATTACTGGGTATTTTATAAAATTCTCAGTTGTAGCGCGGAGTCTGGAATTGTGTCTGTTATATGGCAATAGGCTCACCCCCTATTACATGGGACTCATAACATGAACAGTGAAAAGTGGGTGTTACACTGTACAGTGGCATTAAGTGCCGTTGTATGCACCTCTGCCTAACCCTTCGGGGGTTAAAAGGCGTGATGTTATGTTATGTTTTGTCATGTATTTTAATGTAAGTAAATTGAAAATTGACCTATAAATCGAACAATTTAATATATTTATTGAATTCTTTTAAACTGTAATACATCTGTAAAATTTTACACATTTTGTAGGTTGTAACTGAAATAACAAGATATTTTCTGTTCACAACGTTATTTTTAACCATACTTTGTAATTCAAGTTTAATGTGTAATTTTAACCTTCAGAAACACTAGTTCACATCTCTGGTCGACAACCTTGTTGAATATCATAATTATACAGTTGTTGATTGGTTAAAAAAAATGATATAACTATTGTCATCATAATAATAAGACTGTATGCTTAGTGTGGTGGGTGGGAAACCGGCTTTAGCGCAACACGTAGCGTGTTCCCTCCCTGCAGAGAGAAATTCTTTGTGTGATGAACTGATTGATGTTTCCGATCTGGGTGTAATGTGGATGAACTTATATGTTAACTAACACATATATATAGATACAGGAGAAAATCCTAGTAGGCAACATTAAAAAAAAATAGTTTGTTCTAGAAAATATTTTCAATAGGCACTCTGGTACCATATTATGGTCTTATTCATCCTTGAAATTAGTACCCGGCCTTTTTTATAGTTATTTGTAAATTTTAAATTACTACTGGATAAGGAATTCTGTTGAATCAAAAGTCTGTTTTATAACTAAGAATCCTGAAATCCAGGTAAATCTTTACCAAAATTTTAGTCTTTATATATTCCTTTTGAGGTCTTTTTGTCCAGTAGGTTACATACCTATTTTGAAATAGAGTACTTTTTACTTGCTTGTAAACCTACTGTTTGTTTAGACATCATTAGGGGGTTATTTCTACAAGAAACTTCCCAAGTACTTAATTCTCAGAATTGTATTTTGTTTTATAGCCCAAATAGTACTGAACATAACATAACACCACGCCTTTTATCCCTGAAGGGGTAGGCAGAGGTACACATTACGGTACTAAATGTCACTGTACAATGTAACACCCACTTTGCACTATTTATGTAGGGTCTAGGGGTTTCAGTCATTGTTATGAGTCCCATGTAATAGGGGGTGAGCCTATTGTCATATACCAGGCACAATTCTAGACTCCGTGGTACTGAGATTTTTTTTAAACTCATTAATACTTTGCCTGACCCGGGAATCGAACCCGAGACCCCTTGCCTGGCAGTCGCACTTAAGACCACTCGACCAACGAGGCAGTCAATACTACTGAACAGATTTTAAAAATTAAGATCAGTCAAATTATTTATATCTGATGTAACTGTACTACATTTATTAAATACACTATTCAGTACTTGCTAAAGTCAATGAACCCTTTAAATATTAATGATTTGTGAATAATTCACAATAGTTCTCATTTAAATTGTTTTCAAATGCAATTATTTAAAAAAAAACTTATTTGAAATGATTTATTTAGTATTTTAGTAGTCAGTAATAGTAGTAATACTAATGTATTACTGTTTTCATCTTCTTTTTTAATTTTTAAAACATAGGTATGTTGTCATTGTCATGGTGTTTTTCTCTTTGGTCTTGCTAGGGACTGTTTATAGTCTGTGGAACTCCTCATTACTATTGTATTATTGCATGCAGGAGATACAGTTGTAGTGTGAGTTTGCTATAAATGGTTTATGAGTAAGAATTATAATATTTTACTCAATAAAAATGTATTAATTATGAACAGGAAATACTGTGTCTAGAAATGTGGCACTAACTTATATATTTCCTTTATTAGTTTACATTTTGTTGTTGGTTTACTTAAATCTGCTAATAATATAATAAATCTTGAATATCCAAGTTTCTTTGATTCAGGTTGGAAATTAATAATTCAATTATTTTTAGTTTTTCCCCAAATATTACCTCTTTCTTAGCTTTTGTTTTAAATGTTGCCCTACCCTAGTACCCCACAGGAGAAAATCCTGTATCGTGGGTGCTTTTACAAACATACAATGTCACATGCACATGACACCTAGACCTGAAACAACATTGTTGCTGCGAGAATCGAACCCGCTACACGCTGCAAGGCAGCTAGTTGCCCAGCCATCGCGCTAACCCTGTCGGTGTCGAGTCGTGCAGCTTTCCATATAATTATTCATATTGTATCAATCGGCTGTTTAAATTTTAACTCGTCGAGTACCGGTTTTGTAGACACAATTATAGAACAATAGGTTGCGGTCACCGGTGACCGCTTGGTGTTTGACAGTTTAAAGTTATTTTAGTAAAAGCTACCTATATGTGACTATTAGTTAAGAAGGTACTTAGTTAATAATTAAAACTTGTCTAATAAGTGATCAGGAAAATCGTATTATGCAATTCAATGTGCTATGCTGCAGAATAATACAATTACTGCACGGTTAGCGCGGTGACTGAGCAACTGGCTACCGCGCAACGTGTCGTG